CTTTAAATATATTTATTTAAAAAGGCCAAGGTGCAATTTTTTATTTATTTATTTCTAACAATTAATGTTGACAAATACAAATGATCAATCAATTGTTTGTTATATTGATCGTAGATTGTGGCTAATTTGACACGTGCTACCAATTAAATTAATTAAATTGTTAGCCACATAATGAATATTTGGACATTCGAATTGTGTAACAATTGTTTTAACAATAACACTTTATGTTCGGTGCACATGTTTCATAACTGCTCCTATCACACACATACTTTTTAATGAAAAAAAAAGTGTAACATTAGAATATCCACCATGCTAATTTTGACAAGATTTTTAACCAATTAAAAAAAAAAATCTTATGCATATTAATATATTGATATGTTAAATGGGTGATTGTTAAATCCACATGGTTTTTTAATATAAAACAAATGCTCTTTTTTTGGATTATATAAATACAAGAATTAAAAAAATGAATTAAATTAGAACAACATCTCACTCTGTTTAGAAATAATAATACAATGCTCTGGTTCTTTAATAGATATTAATGTGTGTGTATTAATTATTAATTGGGAGAATAATGAAAATATATATGAGTTATGTAAAATTTATACGGGACTTATCAATTGTCAGATGCAGTTGGCATTGGTTTTATCAAAGAGGGATAATATGATGTATATGTTGCATGTGTTACACACACACGCATTCGATAATTGTTATTCATTCAACCGAGTCAATTAATTATCCCATTTTGAAAAATAAAATAATAAAAAAAAGATTGCCGTTAATAAAAGAATATCATTATGATAAAAACTGCGCCAGTGATACAGTTCGCTTAATCAAAAATCAAGATTTATTTATCGCTTAATTATTTATTTATCTTAGTCATAATTTTTTTTTTTTTTGCCTATGATAAATTATATAGATGGTGTGAAAAAAGTAAAAAAATAAACTGTCATATTTAAACCATACAAATATGAAAAACGAAAATAACAAAGAAATAACGGTACAAAAAAAATTTTTTTATCAACGTGAAATATGAAATATGAAAAGATGAAAAATACGATTATCAAAAAGAGAGATGTAGAAAGTTATATATCAAATATAGTTAGAAGGCGTCATTATTTTATCAAATTTGTATTCTAAATTATTAGACTGAATTTCTGAGTATTCAGTACTAAGTTTCTTTGCAATTTTTTTATAACTCTTTCTAACTCCTTCGTCCTCATTTCTCCAGTGTCGAGACGCCATTTTTGAAACTTCTGCCATATTTATGTGACAATTGCGCGATCTTAATTTGTTCAAAAGTTCGCTCCTATATAGAATGAACGCGTTGGGTGACTTGTATTTTCTTATAAAGCGATTTCCCATAAAGTTAGTAAGTCTTAAATTTTTAGGTGGGTTGGGGACATTAATTAGAGAAAGAGGATTCACTTCGTTTGATTCACTGATTCCGGTCATTTTATCTTAGATAAAATTAATTGATAAAAATATTTATTTATTTACTTTACGACACAAGGTATAAAAAGATGGGGAAATCTGACTCTTATTTATAAAGAAAAAAAGTCAATACAATTGGTTTGTCTTTATATGAAATATATAATATCAAAATTTAATCAATACACAAACAGATCGCGAGTACAAATTTATTGCTCAAAAAAATATTTTCATGCATTGAATTTTCAAAATCAATCCAAGTTTTTTTTTTAGAATTGTTTGCTGATTCGAACAATTTTATCATGTGTTGTTGTGGCACTATCTCATCGTTTCTAGATGAAAGAAACAATATCGGCGAATTTATAGATTTTACCATTTCATCATTTTCCCATCTGTTACGAAGAAACAAAGGAATGCTTGCCAAATATCGATAAGGCAACCATTTTTGGGGATATAATTCTATCACCATATCTTTGATCGACGTGAATGTATTTTCAATAATTGTACCTTTGATATCGGATTGAATTTGTGGATGCGATGCTAAGTATAATGCCACCGCACCTCCCAATGAATGCCCATAAACGTAAATTGGATTCTCCGGATACAAACTTCGTACGAATTTGTAAATGGATGTTGCATCCATCTTTAATCCATCTTCTGATGGTGATCCATTGGACAGCCAATATCCTCTATAACCAATTGCAACGATGATTAAATTGGTAATTGTGGACTTTGATGTGGTCGGTAATAGTAGACGATAAAAGATTGGAAGCCGATGGAGCATATTACCAGCATTTCTATTAAATTTCAAAAAAAAAAACAAATATTAAATTAAAACCCAAAAAACATATATATATATTGTTCACATCATGTACCCTTGAAAGTATATTAAAACCGGGTCTTGTTTACTGAAATTCTCGATTGCATCTCTAATAATACTAGGATTTTCTCCTTTTAAACTTTTATTTCGAATAATAATCCCAATCAATTTACATCCATCGTCTGATTTGGCTTCTACTAGTTTACATACCAATCGTTTGTCAATCAACGATTCATCAAATCGATCGTTACGACATCCAATTGGTAAGTAGGGTACATACAAAAATTTATTTTGTAATAAAATAATCATGGTGCTCTGTAAAGTGTAAAATGTAAATGGGTAAAAATTTATTGAAAATTAAAAAGATTTTTAAAAATTAATTTAAAAAGTACCTTCCTTATACACGTATACAAAAAATGGCACACCTAAAACTATGGCAATCGTTGTTTTCCATGAAAAATTCAAAGTATCAGAGAAATTTGAAAGTGAAGAAAAAAAAAATTTTTTTCAAGCTGAAGTCGGCATTTATGATTGAGCTCAGAGTTGGGGTTTGACGTGTGCGGTTTCCCTTTCGGTTATTCTATTTT